AAGCACCAACTGTTACAGCAAATCCGACTAAGACATTTCTACCTTCAGAAGTGCCAACAGTCACATCGAATCCAACTATGACATCAATGCCATCAAAAGTACCAACTGTTCCAACAGACACTGTAATTCCATCGCAAGTCCCAACAAGGGCAGCAGATCGAACAGCTTACCCAACGACTTCCGATCGAACGACATATCCAACGACTTCAGATCGAACGGCTCAACCAACGACTTTCAAAGTGATGAAAAAAAAAAGCCCGAAGGTAAATAAGAAAATAGGGAAAGATTTGAAAAAAAGAAAAGATATGAAAAAAGGCAAAGATACGAAAACTCTTCGATGAATCAAGGCTTCGTTTGTTTCTTATTTTCTTCTACTAGCTATTCGTCTACCTTTTTTTGACGATATGATGAAGTTTTGAACTGCTTTCTTTCTTTACGTCTGGGTAAAGGCAACTAATCGAAAGGCAAAAATGATAACGCYACATGCTCCTATTCAAAACGTTATGGTGGGTAGGAAAAAGGCGATAACGCCAAGGGCCATGTATGACCATTCCGCATTATCAAAAGATGACATGAACGGCACGAAAGAAAAAAACCGCAGACGCTCAAATTCTAGAATTACAAAAGCTCTAGCTTAATCTTCACCTGTTTGCAATTCAAGAAAAGGGAAGCACAAACGAAAGGGCAAGCGGACGAGCAACAATATCAAAGATGACAATGACCGATATGAAAGAAAAATGGGGATTCCGACCATGAAATCGTCCTTGATTCTACCCTCGAACCTGCACCACAGTTGGTGTCTCTGATTATAGAAGCAATGCTCAGCTCCTCTCCTGCTGATGAAAATCTACGAACCTTTGCTCGGTGCAATTCGTCATACTTCYTATGGCCGCAGATCAACACGACTTCGAATGTTAGCGCTGATTAAGTTCGTAGCTTTCCTTTCCATATAGTAGCTATCGATTCAACGATATTATCGAGAGAAGGCATGGATAGAATCTTGACAACAAGATTAAACCTAATTTGAGTACTTCAATCCAACCCATTCTTTTCGTAAAGACTACAACCAAAAGTTTTGCGATAGCGACTTCAAAACATAGGGCTTGAAGTTACGCTACTTCCAATGCTGGATTGGTGTGTGATGCACACCATATCAGGTCTAATTTCAATACATGCAACTTATATAACTAAGGGACGAATAATGTGGTATCACGGTCTATGGGGTACTGGTGGAGGAGGATGTGTATTCCAATCCAATGTGTTCCGCAGAGCCTTCGTCACACTGTCAACATTTTCCTCTCAAACCAATAAAAGCTCTAAAAGATTWTGTGAATAATTCCATTCATCATTAGTTGAAGATCTACTACATACTCCTAATGTCATCCTAGTAACTGCATACATGTTGTTCAAATAAGCTCAAATTATGCAATGCTTCTTTTTGCATTATTTAAATCAATCCTAGTAGTGGTACAGACTTGCCCCACACACTTATGCTGAGTGTTTCAAGTGTGTGAAGTTATAGCATTAACTTATTCAAATAGATCTGTCTTTGGCATGTAACAAGTGTGATTTTACAGGTTGAAAGGGTTTGCCTGGTCATCCAAGAACCAGAGACTTGTTGCAATTGAAAACTAAGATTGATTATATTGCATGAGTTGATGATCTTCATTCAATGTTACTGTAACAAGTCACTAGATAAGCTTCATATTGCTCCACCAATTGCACTTTCATATGTGCCTCAAATTTTCTGAGCAGCACATGGAGCAATCTATTCAGATTTTGCTCAGCAGCAAACATACATGCGCATTCCTTTTTTTGTGTAAAATAAAGTGGTTGCTAAGATAGCCCCCAATACTATTGTATTGATTACATTTTCAGCACTCTTTTTCTTTGCTATTGCAATGACAATGAATAGTGAGGAAACCGATGCAAGTGACAAAGAAGTGACTGCAAGGAAACTTGACAATGCTACAGCAGCAAAGGATAGTGACAGTATAGATGGTGATGGTCTAGTACAAACAAAGGRCTGGGATCCTGACAGTGTACAGTGGTTAAAATACAAAGGGGATGMTAGTAGTATTAGCTAGTGTGTGTTGGGTTCTGAACCAATTGGTTCAACCATACTGGATGAACCAAAGCATTAAAGACAGACACAAGGATCTTCTCCAGGTTGATTTGTTGTATAATGACACCAACGATTGTCGTTATCTCTAGGAGATCAATCTCAAAGATTGGGGTACAATTCAACTATACCTGGTCCCAGTTCTGACTCTGACAGTACCACCAGTTACACAAGTGAACACAACAGGGAGGATGAGATCATGGAGACTCTTGAGGTCAAGTGCCCAGCTGCATTAACATTTGTACCAGTTGATATGGAAGGGAGATGGCTGTTTGAGAAACCCTTTGGGACTCAATTACAAGGTTCCATATTGGGGAAAGAGGATGTAAATTATGCATTAAAGGCAGGGTATTGGGTGAACGGGCCCTTTTTTAGTCAACAAGCCCTTCATAAAAATGAAAGAGAAGGCAGACAGTACTAGAAGTAAAAACAAAGAGCATCAAGAGTCCCAAAAGATCTACTGGCTTACCATGCCTACACAAATTGGCTAGCAGTTGCTCCATTGCACAGGTTGTGGGGGGCATCCTCAATCCTTCAGTAGATACCATGGTCAGAAATGGCGCTGTTATGCCAGGCATCATGGCACTTGTAGACTGAGATCCTGATCATTCCATCAGGCCAAAGACAAACTTACTATCAATGAAGGTGCTTTCTTTCCAGCTGTTGTAGAAAGCTCTATATTTGTACCAATCACAGCTACATACCTGATGTGCAACTTCTGGATCTCATGGTGACACCTTCTTCCTTGGAATCCTTGGAAGGGGAAAATCCATCTCTATGGCCTTTAATATAGTACTCTATCACCACTGATCACAACACTATCAATCCCCTTTCACCCCCCCCTCCCCAAGCTGACAGCAACCTACCTCTGCTGGATCCATCACTCTAGAAGCTAAATCATCTTCTGGTCACCATGATGTTATTTCCAACATTCTTGTCTGACACAATAACAATAACAATAACAATAACAATA